CTCTTCCATGGACCCCACGGCAATGCCCACGTGTGCTTTTGCCTTCCTGGGGTTGTCGGCTCCCAGGGCTGCCCTCCTGTCCAGTCCTGTCACCTTGTCCTCTGCCCCAACCCCTCACCATGGTGTCAGGGCGCTGTGCTGCTGTGGACAAGGACTAAAGGGAGCCACAAAACATCCTTCTTCCAGTAGGGTGGCAAAGGAGAGGGCCTCACACCCAGGAGACAGGGCAGCAGCAAGATCTTGCAGGACATTTCACCACAAGAGAACGGTGGCCCTGATGGGCTGGGATTGGGCCCCTGGTGCCAGCCTGTGCCACCTCCCGCAGCTCAGCAGGCTCTGCTGGGCACCAAGCTGTCAGCGAGAGCGTGTCCCCAGTATGGGTGCTTGTGTTGGAGGGGCTTTTCTCTTTAGGAGAGGTTGGTTGAGAGACAGACTGAGCTTAGCCTAAAAGATCCTCTTATTCTAGACAATAGTGGTGTGAGTGCAGTGGCAGCCATGGTCTGCAGGGACATGCCCTGGCCAGAGGTGATGGGATGGGGCAGGCAGGGGAGGCTGGGAGCTCTGTGGGTACACATCCCCTCTGCTTGCCCCAGGCAGCCCTGCCACCTGCTACCCTTGCATCAGCTCATGCACAAGCTGCTGAAACCAGAGCTGGCAGTGAAGTGTCTCCTCTTAGGTCTTTTCCTTTGCTGGGAGCTACAACATGGTCCTTGTAATTTCCTCCCCAATCTCTGGTGTCAGCCACTTCGCCAGGACTTTATGCAATTCCTTGGCTGCCCCATGCTGCCCCTTGCATTGCTCTCCTGCCTCCTATTCCATTCTACCTGCCAGCCCTTGCCGTTGGGCTGCAGGATGCTCTCAGTACCCGCCACCAAGGGCTTTGGAGGCTGGGACTCCCACGGGAGAGAGGGCACAGCATGGAGGTTTGGTGGGGCAGAGTGATGCCGCATCTCTGCTGGCCCTTGGGGGAGAGCTCTATGGGGCACAGAGAACCTGACTCACAAGCATGTGGTGGGGGATGCTGCTCAGGGGATCACCATCATGATGGTGCCCTCATTCAGGGCTCAGGGCTGGCAACTGCAGTGGGCCAGTGGGGCTGCCACATGTTGCCTTCCTCCAGGGCCCTGTGGACCCCCATGAGAGGGTGTGGGTGCTGTTGCAGGTTGTGGCACTGGTTGAGGACCTGCCCAGGACCAGATGACAAGTAGGTGCTGTGGCACCAGGGGCAGAGGAGGGGGTTCTGCCCCGACTGTCTCCTCAGTCACCAGCTGGTGCTGCCCTGTATTGCTGTGTTTACCCTCGCTGTGGCTGTGCTGACTCTTCCCCTAGATGCGTCTCTACAGGGGAATGGAGTGTCCAAGCCTTTCCCTGGGTCCCCTCCACCCGCCTGGATGATGGCAGGGTGGGAGCAGGTTGCAGATGGGAACATGGGGAGGCAGTGCTGGGCAGGGAATGAAGTTCTGGGGAGACAACTGCCTGAGCAGGGCTGTGTTTATGGGTCTTTGAGTGGGTAAGGAAGGGTTGTTGGTGCTGAGAGAGGGAGCAGGACAGAGCTGCTGTGACAGCTAGTGGACTGGGACATCCTGGTGAAGTGCATGCGGATGTGCTCAGCGTGTGTTTTCCTGCCCCTTCGCAGCAGGGTTTGAGTCAATTCCCTGGCCAGGATGAGCTGGAGTTTTTTGACGCGGCTCCTGGAGGAGATCAACAACCACTCGACCTTCGTGGGCAAGATCTGGCTGACCGTCCTCATCGTCTTCCGCATCGTGCTGACGGCTGTGGGGGGAGAGTCCATCTACTATGATGAGCAGAGCAAGTTTGTCTGCAACACACAGCAGCCGGGCTGTGAGAATGTCTGCTACGACGCCTTCGCCCCCCTCTCCCATGTTCGTTTCTGGATCTTTCAGATCATCATGGTGGCCATGCCATCGGTGCTCTACCTGGGCTTTGCCATGCACCGCATTGCCCGCATGCCCGAGTCCTCGCGGCGCCGC